CTCTCACGACGTAACTAAAAAATCCAGGGATAAATCTCACTTTTGGCATGGCTGGGTCCAAGACCCCTCACCGTCATCAGGACTCAGACTTCCATCTTTCAGCTTTGCTCCCCGTTAGAGAGCCTCATTCTCAAATGGGCTTTCCTCACAAGGGAGTGAAAACAGCTCTTACGAGACCACATTTTCATGCTCCAGCCCATCCGAGAGAGGCCTCCGATTGGCTTTGGTTATGTGCCTGTCCCTAAAACCAGTCATCGTAGTGAGAGGGATACGTATTCTAATCTTCCAGAACTAGGTCATGTGCCTGTCTTCGCACCCAAGGCGTGAGGTCACCCCAGCCTGGTAACAAAAGAATGGGGGAGAGGTCCCTCCAGAAAGATACAGTTCAGGCAGAAATGCTAGTCCACTAAATAAAAGTAAAAAGAGATTGAAGGAACTATTGAGGAGCCATAACCAAATAGTAGAAGAGAAGTCAGGTAGGGAAAGGCCACTGGTTTTAGGAGGCAGGTTAAGCTGTGTCTGGTACAATACCAGCGATGAATTTATACCACACTCACACGTTCGTTAGTGAACAGGAGAGAAGCCACAGCTATTTGGGAACATAACAGAGCCTGGGGAAGGTCTCCTAGGGATAGCAGTGGCTGAGCGTGTTTCTGCCGAGAAGTTTCTAGCAGAGAAAAAGACTGATGGAGAGATGAAGGGCGGAATTGACCCTGAGAGGACCTAGAGCCGGTAGGGGGAGAGCAGACAAGAGCCCAACACTAAAGCAATAAAAATTTCCCCCAGAGTATAAGGTATGTGGCCATTTGCCACCCCTCTAGACCAGACAGGTGTTACTCTTTCCAATGTAGCCATCTTAGAGTGACCAACTATACCCAAAAGATTCTTAGCCTCTGTCTGGCCAGGTCATTGACCGAAAGGCTTACCTTTAGAGCAGGCTTACCTTTAGTGGTTCTCAAAGTGTGGTCCTTGGACCAGCAGCACCAGCAATCCCTGGGAACTTGTTAGAAATGCAGCTTCTCTGGCCCCACCACAGGTCTAATGAATGAGAAATTGGGGGGAGGGGGAGGGAGGCATCTGTGACCTCCAGGTGTTTCATAAGACCTCCAGGTTTTTTTAAGGTTTTATTTATTTGTTCATTTATTTATTTGAGAGAGAGAGCACAAGCAGCGGGGGTGGGGGGCAGAGGCAGAGGGAGAAGCAGGCTCCCCGCTGAGCAGGGAGCCCAACGCAGGGCTTGATCCCTGGACCCTGAGATCATGACCTGAGCCAAAGGCAGGTGCTTAGCCGACTGAGCCACCCAGGTGCCCCGACTTCCGGATTTTTCTGATAATGGTTCAGGTTCAAGAGCCCCTGCCTCAGAGCATCCACATCTCCCCTCCACACACCACCAGGGTTTCCTTATAACAGTGGCTTGGGAAAGCTTTGAGAATCAAGGATATATACGGCAATTGTTGAAAAGCCACTAATGACTCCAAATGTAATGGGTTGGAAGAACAAAAGAGAGAAGGCAAAGTTGTAACTTAGTTTTTCTCCCATTCATGGAGGGCTTTCATGTGGATGATAGTCATCAAAGGAGCTACAGGATCCCTGAGGACGGAGACAGGTGGGAAGGGCTTAGATGACAGCTACAGAATAGTCATTCCTTTGAGTAAGGGTTAAGTTGTAGAACAGGTTTTGGGTATGGATCATTTAATTTAAATGCAGGCTCTCCTACTAGACACTGTGAGGGGGCTACAAAAGAAAGGCACGGCAAGGTTTCTTTCATCAAGGAGCTTATAAACTTTTTGAACCTTCAAGACTTAGGTAAATCCAGTGGAGTATAGAAAGGCAGTATAATGGAGTGCTGAATTGAAAAGGACCTCGAGGCAAAATGTGTGGTCGAGACTGTAAGGGCTGTGGGCATTCAGGGGAAGAAATTGGCCTTGTGTCATTTTCTTCTCCGGACCAGAGGATGAAACTGTCAGCCTGGTATCATTTCCCAAGTCGGATGGCGGGGCTAGTGGCCGCTTGGATTCAAGAAGACCTTTTTCCTGCTCTCTCTTTTCTTTCCCAGTTTGCTAAAGTTTGTCAAAACCGCGATGTCAAAGCGAGGAGTTGTGTTTCGAGACTTTGAACTTGAAGTATTATTAATGTCTTTGGTTATATGAGAAACCTGTAGGGGAAATTACATTTTGCCCTGGATGTCTTTAGATGGGACAAGACCCAAGTAGAAGTTTGGCGTATTTGTTTCAAACACACTTTCAGACGTACTTCATTCACGGGGAGGACATGAATCAACCTGTCTGAGGATGCCTTCATTTTGCAGGATGAAGAAAGCGAATTAGCTGATGTTCCTTAGCGGAAGGATTATGTTGTACCAGATCGGGGATGATAGGGAACAAGAAAACACTTCAGATGAACGCAACATTTCCATTGCTTTTTATTGCTTTGCACCATGCTGCTTGCCTGGGTCAATAAACAGGTAACCAAAGCAAGACCCAAATGAGAAGGCGCCCAGGACAGGGACATAAAGGCTGTTTGGAGTCCAAGAGAAAAATAATAAAAACATCTTAGTAGTAGAGAGGAAGCCAGCAAATTTGGAACCTACTGCAAGGCACTAGGGAGATCTTTTTTTTTTTTTTTTTTGCAGAATTTTATTTATTTTGTTTTTTTTTTTGCGCTCGGGGGGGGGGAGGGTTTTCTTAACTCCACCTGTGGCTCGCAGGTGTTAACAGAGAGCTTCCTTTTCTTTAACCGTGATGACCCGGTGACCCGAGAGACGGGGTGACCTGAGATGCATTAGGAAACCAGGGGCTTCCTTTTCTGTCATATCAAGTATAATACCTGCATCGAACCGTGTTCCTCTAGGAGAAATTACTAGTGTTTGTTGTTCTGATGTTCTGGCAATTGGGAAGAAGAATCCTCTCTTATTTCAAGGTATTGAGAACAGCTCTGTGGCCCATTTCTTGATGAAGGAGACCCAGTTGAAGTGGCCGGGAAAAAAAAAAGAAGATAAAATACCAGAAACTAGTTGTACACATCCAGTCAGATCACATCATGCAGAGGCTGTGTTCTCTACCTGCCGAACTTCTCTCACATGGTCATTTTGTAAGAAAAGCCTTCTGAAGCCCCTCCTTGGGAGTTGCTGTCCTCCCAATAGGATGGCAAATCACAATGTTCCTTTTTCCTTCCTAATGCCTATCCGATTAGGATATTTCACACATGGACTACAAATGGTGTACACTGATTCGGTCTTGTCTCCTCCTCTTGATGCAGTGAGCTCCTTAAAGGCCTGGTCCTTGGCTGTTTTGTTCACCATTATGAACATAGAACCTGGTGAATATAGGAAGCACCAAGTAAAAATTTGTCTGGTGAATGAATGAATGAATGAATACGAAAGCACTTTATACAGCTGAAACTAATATAATGTTGTCTATCAATTATACCTCAATAAAAAAAAAGGAAGAAAGTACTTTGTAAACTGTATTCCCTGTAAAAGCCCTGGTTAACTCAATTTGTAGCAGATTCTTCCTTTCTTCCTTCGGTCCTAATTTTCTTCTCTCCATTCTAATTTTCTTCTCTCCATTTTTCAGTTATTTTGAGGTATACTTGTCAGTGTCTTACCAATTCCAAATTGAAGATTTGCTATTATTCATTCTTGCGGTTTTTTTGGAGATCAGGACATTTTTCCCTCGAATACAGGGTTACACCCACGGTACTAGTCCCGAGCCCCCCACCTTTGTTGGGCATGTGCTTTGCGGCTTTGAAAGGGAACTTGTGGATGATTTGTTTGGGAAGCAAACAGGGCGCTAGCGTAGTACATATTCTGTGTTTCTTGCTCTCCCCAAAGCCTGTCACATAAGTTCCCATACCCCAAGCATGCTCCTCAAGAATACACGAGTTGAAATAACTTGATCATGTTGGCCCAGGCAGAGCTGTTCCTGGCTCTGTCTTCAAGGAGGGAAAAAAAAAATCAAGAAATCCAGGTGTGGAAAATATTAAGGATCAGGATATGAATAGGGCTTTTCTTTAAAAGCAACAAACAAACAAAAAATCCTCCAGTCCTCTCCAGCAGGGCCTCGGTGTGCCACTTCTGTGTGTATGGAAGTGTTATCCTTGGTGGGCAGGAACGGCAGACAGCCAAGTGGAAAATTTCACAGCCCTGCAAACCTCCAGTGCACTAAACACTGTCACCCAGCCATCGGAGGGAACTGTATGGCAGGGACCAAAGAACGATGTGCCTGCACAGGCCTCTGTCACCCACCTTCCACGCCCCACCCCCCTTTGCTTCCCGCTCTGATCCAGGTCTTTACTTTCTTTCTCCGTGAGCTTCCAGAAGGCTCTGTTTCCAGTCCCGGGCTTCCCCGGACCCCTCAGTGCAAGGGAAGTTTCAGCAATGCAGCCCATGCGGACTTTTTTTTTTTGCACATTTGGGTGCCCCAGGGAGAGTGGACTGTTGGTGGCTAGCCAAAGCTGGCTTTTAAATTCTGGCTCAGAGCTCAGTAACAGGCTTATGACCACTAATAATACTTGGCGTTTACATAGTGCCTTTCTTCTTGGGAACTGTGAGTACTTTGCAGGAGTGATCTTATTATTGATCTTCCCAACAACCCAGTGAGGTATGAAAATGGCAAGAGGTGATCGTCCTAGCTCCTTCCCTTTTGCAGAGAGTAAAAATCAGGTGGCGTGTTATGAGACCGTGTTGCAAGTTGACATCTCAGCTGGGATTACATCAGGAGTCCCCCAGAATTGGCTTCGACTTTATGGGTGTGTGGGGAGGAGGGGGAAGGGTGGGGAGGGACAGAGTGGGGGAAGCTGACCAGGAGTTGCCCTGTCTCCTGGGGCAGGAGCAAAATTACTACTTTTTTTTTTTTTTTTTTTTTTTTTTTAAGGAAAGGGTGCTGGAAAATGGTCTTTGGCGAGTTATCAAATCCGCGAGACTTCATTTGTTGAGATAACAGAGTGATTGGATGAGGCATTTACCTTTTCCTTTTTCTTCTCTCCTACTCCCGCGCTAGGGATTTCTCACTCCTCTGGAAGGAAGAAAGAACACGCCTGAGCCCAGGAGCGCTCCAGCTTCTTGTGGGAAGTCTCCATGGTGAAGGCTAAGCCAGGGCTACCTGCGAACAGCGCGCAGTGAATGTCGTAAGTTAACGAGCAGCATCTGCGGCGGCTTGCCTTGCAAGGATTTGTGAATCATGGCATGTCACCAAGCCAGGGCGATGAAGGGGCATTCGCATGAGTTCTAAGTGATCATCCAATTAATTTCTTTTTTTAGAGGAGAGATTCTGTTTTTATCTGCCGTGAACTTGCCTTTGTGGGGCACTGCTCATTATCTACTTCTGGTATAAAAGAGTGGAAGACAGTGATTCTTTTCACTGTTAGAACGCTTGTCTCCTGGGACAGTGACACAGTATCCAGTATAGAGCAGACTCTTTCAACTGGGCTGTCAAAAGTTCATTTAGGTTTTGGGGGGTAGTGGGTAAAGTTCTCCGGGGCAAAGGATTAGCAATGAGAATTGGCACCCAGCAAATATTTTTATTTATGTGAAGTTTTTTGTTGTTGTTGTGGTTGGTTGGTTTGTTCTTGGAATGAATTTTTTTTTTCCTGGCTTTCAAAAATCTGAGGTATGCAAATATAATCAGTTGTTTTGGGTGCTTGTCTTATTCAGAATTGGAGGACTTACTGGTTTTTATCAGGTTGCAAGGTCAAGGCTTTGGGATTAGTAAAGTATCAGCTGCAGGTTGCTTTTCATGAGGAACTTTATTATCAAGTAGTTGAAGAGGTAGAGCACACTCTGGGTTGCCAGGAGCTTATCTGCCACAGAATTTAGGAATCTGACCAACTCTGTTGCTTTCTGGAGATTTTAACCTCATTGCTAGATTGTGTCCAAAAAAAAAAAGTTTATGAGGTTTTGATCAGGAAAAAGTACAGCTGCAGGAAACCCAGGATGGGCCATGAGTGTATTATCTTCAAGTTTTAGAAAATTAAGAACCAACTTTGACTAGGACTTGGGGTATGTGTGTGCATGTGTGTGTGTGTGTGTGTGTGTGTGTATAAATGCATGCATACATTTACATATTTAATATATAGCATATATTTGTGCATATATTATATATACACAAGTACATATATTTGTGTGTATATAAATATGTATTATATATATTTTTATATATTATATAAAATTTTAAATAATAAGTTCTTCACTTCTTAACAATTCAGTCAGGAAACTTCTCCAGGGACTTTTTGACTTATATTTTTTTCAGTTGCACAAATAATTTTGAAAGAGCAAAGTGCATCAATATGAGGGCATATATCAGGGAGAACAAGCATTAATGCTGAAGAGAAAAATTTCCACTGAGTATTTTTTAATGTTGTGCTTTTCTAAAAATTTGTATTAAAATAAGCATCTTTGTCCATATTTCCTCAGGGTTAAATAGTCATATTTAAATAAGCTTATTAAATTTAAACTCTCCCAGTGCCTCATAGTAAATGGTGGGAAACACTGGTGTTTTAATGTGTTTCCATTTTGTGCATATGATCCCATTGGTTCCAGTGGAAATGTGCATACAGCAACTGGAATCAGCAGACCTGAATTCTATTCCTGGTCCTACGGTTGAGGTCAAGAAATCTGCAACTTTGACAAGTCATTAATCCCCATCAAGGATTATTTTGTTAAGTCTCTATGTTACTTTTTATTTTGTAAATCTGTATGCACAACAAATAACCTGTGAATTGATCAGTTAACATCTTGGTTTGAGGTCCCCATAAGGGGGACGGTATTAAGTAAGGCACTTTAATACTTACTAAAAAAAAAATATTTCTTGTTGTAAAAGGTTCTGTCACTGTTAAGGAATAATTTGGGTCCTAGAGTAGCAGTATATTTTACTAGAAATTATTTTCCCAATCAGATGGCTGTTAGAATACACTTCTGGTGATTTCTCTTTTTCTGGTGATGTTTTTTAAAGCATTTTTATCCTAGGAAACAAGTGTCTTACGGAAAAGTGCTTTAGGTTTCAGGTTACATCTAAATGAATAATACAGATACTGTAATCACAATAGCTTTTGTTTCAAATCTGGTATTTTTTTTTTAAACCATTGCTTTGAAATGCTCATGTGATGCCCTGTCAAACCCAAAACATTAAATGAGGTTTTCAAAGAAGTTCTGAAGTGTAAACTTTAAGATGCCACATGGCCCACTAAAGTAATTTTTAAAAAATCCTTCTGTAAATGGAGTGTGTTGAGAGAAAGGAAGAAAACACAAAATTCTAGTGAACTTCTTCAGTGCTGAGGACTTCCTCTTGCAAATTGCATTTGCTTGGTGGTGGGGTTGGGGAGGGTCCCGATTTTCTCAGCAAGCTGTGAAATTTGTAATCTTAGTCATTAGTAATCTTTTGGGATCTTGGTGCATTTTTACCTTGCGTTCATACCTTGGTGTCCTCGGTGCCCCGAAGCCTGTGCCACGATGATAGGGAAAGCAGGAGATCTTCAAAGAACATGTGCTTGCAAATGGGGTAGGAATGTGGATATATAAATATCTGAGTAACCATCCTAGCAGCCATAGGAATGAGCGGCTTCTGTCCTCAGCATTCCTCACAGACTGCACCCCAAACTTACTGCCTCTGCGGGACCCCTCCGCTGGTCCCTGTTAGCTACCTCTCAGATCTGCCACCATCATTCTAGCAGATGAGGTGAAAGGGATGGTCGTGAAATTTTACCTACGAGTCAGGAGACCTGGGTGTTGCATATGATGTTGCACTTAATCTTGGAATCTGGGAAGCCCTAAAGCTCCGTGGATGCGATTTATGAAGGAGTAACATGAGAACGTTGAGTTAAGTGACCTCTGGTAGTTCTCCTTGCTCGATGTGTCACATTGCAGAATGTGCCAGCTTGGATGAGACAGGTTGGACCTTCATTTTAGCCTGTTTGTCTAATAAAAGTCAATGATTTGGCACAACTTCAATTTACAATTGCTTTTAAAATATTGAGTGCAGTCTTATGCTTGTATATATGTTCTGTCTATCACCGTTGTGATACGCACCCTCCCGGATAGCATGGCAACTCAAAGGTGTTCATTTGAGTGCTTTCTAAGAATATAGTTTTAGTCATTTAAATTTAGGGTCCACCCATTGGTCTTTTTGAAAATTAAATATGAGCCGCTTTTGAAATTAAGTTTTTAAAAACTGTCTACCTCCACATTCAAATATTGCTTCGCATAGGGGCACCTGGGTGGCTCAGTCAGTTAAGCATCTAACTCTTGATTTCAGCTCAGGTCATGATCTCGGGGTCGTGAGATCGAGCCCCGCATCGGGCTTTGCGCTGGACGTGGAACCTGCTTAAGATTCTCTCTCTCCCTCTCCCCCTTCTCTCTAAATATATGCATGGTGGCAGTGATCTATATTTCTTTCTTAAGCTTCTCAGCCTCCTTAAGTAGGACTTCTCAGGTTACCTTTTCAAAGCAGCCTCTCCTGACCTATATAAAATAGCACCCACCCCGTTCCTCTGTGCCTGCTAGCATACTTCATTTTCCTTTTAAGCATCTTACATATTATATATTTATTTGTTAATCGTCCATCCCCTCAACTAGACTGTAAGCCTCATGAAAGCAAGCATTTTATTATTATTATTATTATTATTATTACAACGTGTATAAGTAAATGTGGGAAAGGAAACAATTTGTTTTAAAAAATGTTTTATAGAACTATCAATAGAGTATGGGGATTTTCTGATACTTTTTAAAAAAAATCCTGCCCCGTGTGTATTTCCTCTCCTGTTCCATTTGAGTGGTTTGCTTTATCAGTCATTTCTCAGTAGCCAACTCTAGTATTCTGTGAACAGAGGTGGCTTGGTCTCTCCCCATCACATCATTTCGTCACCCCTGAGAGCGGGAGCCAGGCTTGAGGTGTGCTAGCTCCCCAGGAAGAAACTCACCATTTACTGAATAGCATCATTTATCCTGTCTTTACTTCCGGATGATGAACAATTTGGAACAAAGAAATGGTATGCCGACACAAATTAAGCCCATCCAATGTCTCCCGTGGTGTGAGGGAGGGCGTTCACAAAGGCTTTCTTTCCTTTTTTTTTTTTTTTTTTAAGATTTTATTTGTTTATTTGTCAGAGAGAGAGAGAGAGAGAGCACAAGCAGGGGGAGTGGCAGGCAGAGGGAGAGGGAGAAGCAGATTCCCCGCCGAGCAGGGAGCCCGATGCGGGGCTCGATCCCAGGACCCTGTGATCATGACCTGAGCTGAAGGCAGACGCTTAACCGACTGAGCCACCCGGGCGCCCCTCACAAAGGCTTTCTTAAGGTGGCATCATCCTGCGTTGCTTTTGAGGATGGCAAGAATAAAGGTTTCTTGGATTTTGTGTGTTCATGGACCCCCCCTTTTCAGAGGAACTGCTCTGAGTGCAGGAGTTACATTTTTCCTAGGAAGAAACTGGAAGACCAGAATACACACCTCTGTGCCTATTTATACAGCATTATGCTGTCTTTATAAGCTTCGAAAAATGGCAGCTGAATTTCTAGTCCCCAGAGTCAGAGAATTGCACACACACACTCTGATAAGAGTGACTTGGGAATTTCCTGCGTGTCTGGCAATTTGTACCTTTTAGATTTGCCATCTGTGGCACCACATTCTTTAGCACTATAGCAAAAAATAAAAAAAAAAAAACAGAGAAAACTGAAGTAGATAAGGGGTCAGGAGAGAAGGGGAGATTTTGCTGTTAGAATAACGAGGAACTGGCCTCGCTGTTTTCAGTCCTCACTCCTGAAGGCCCTGTAACTCGACCTGAGTGTCCTCGGGGCTCTGGGCAGGGCAGTCACTTGTGTGGCCTTGGGTCTTTTCGGGTTTTCGCCTTCACCCTTTGCTCTGCCCTTCTCAGACTTCCTTCCAGCACGTCTCCCTAATTCCTGGCCCTGGCCTCTCTGGCGGGGCCTCCGCAGGAGCTGCTCCTTCTGAGAGCTGATGTCAGAGCTCCTTCCTGAGTCCTTGGCAAGGTCTAGCCCATCCCAGGCACACCCTTTCCCCTCGGCATCACCTTCTCCCAGCGCCAGGCCTTCCTCCTCTCCTCTCAGGCACCTCGGAGGGGGGAGGGAGAACTGCAGAACCCCCAGAAGTTGTGGGAGAACCCTACAATATTCGTGTTCT